ATCACAGCGCGTTGGTAGTGATACCTGCTGACCGTAGCCGTAGACGTAGTAGTATTTGTAGTAGTAGCGGTAGTAGTAGCAGTTTTGGATTGATCGTCTGTCTTGGCAGTACCAGTAGTAGTAGTAGTAATAGTAGTAGTAGTAGTAGTAGTAGTAGTAGTAGTAGTAGTAGTGGTAGTAGTTGTAGTAGTATAGTAGTAGTAGTAGTAGTAGTAGTAGTAGTAGTAGTAGTAGTAGTAGTAGTAGTGGTAGTCGTAGAAGTAGTAGCGCTAGTAGTAGTAGTACTAGTAGTAGTCGTAGTAGTAGTAGTAGCAGCAGCAGCAGCAGCAGTAGTGGTCGCAGTAGTAGTTGGTGTAGTACGTATAGTACGTGTAGTAGTAGTAGTAGTAGTAGTAGTAGTAGTAGTAGTAGTAGTAGTAGTAGTAGTAGTAGTAGCCGTCGTAGTTGTAGTAGTACTAGTTGTGGTAGTAGTAGCCGTAGCAGTTGTAGTCGAACTAGTAGTAGTAGCGGTAATAGTAGCAGTCGTAGTCGTAGAAGTAGTATCAGTAGTAGTAGCAGTAGCAGCAGCAGTAGTCGTCGCAGTAGTAGTTGGTGTAGTAAGTGTAGTAGTAGTAGTAGTAGTAGTAGTAGTAGTAGTAGTAGTAGTAGTAGTAGTAGTAGTAGTAGCAGTCGCCGTAGTTGTAGTAGTATTAGTTGTGGTAGTAGTAGCCGTAGCACTTGTAGTCGAACTAGTAGTAGTAGGAGTAGTAGTAGTAGTAGTAATCAGTGGTAGTTTGTAGTAAGTCGTATGTGTGTGGTATGTACTGATTGATTTGATGCCAGCATTAAAAGTAATAGTAGTAGTAATAGTAGTAGCCATAGTCGTAGCAGGGGTTCTACGGAATTTCCACGAGCAATATTCGTAGTAGTAGTAGTAGTAATAGTAGGACTAGCTTTAGTCGTATAAGTAGTAGTAGGAGTAGTCGTCGTAGTAGTACTAGTAGTAGTAGTAGTAGTAGTAGTAGTAGTAGTAGTAGTAGTAGTAGTAGTAGTAGTAGTAGTAATATTGGTCATAGTCGTGCTGGAATTCGTGGTAGTAGTCGTGGGGATAGTCGTAGTCGTACTTCTTTCAGTAGTGGTAGTATGGTAAAGTAGTAGTAGTAGTAGTAGTAGTAGTAGTAGTAGCAGTAGTAGTAGTAGTCGTAGTAGTAGCAGTAGTAGTAGTAGTAGCAGTAGTAGCAGTAGTTGCAGAAGTAGTATCACTTGTCGTAGTAGTACTAGCAGCCGTAGCAGTTATATCAGTAGTCGTAGAAGTAGTAGTAATAGAAGTCGTAGTCGTAGCCGTCGTCGCCGTAGTAATAGTCGTAGTCGTAATTCCACTAGTAGTAGTAGGGGCATCAAGACTATTAGTAGTAGTAGTCGTAGTAGTCGTAGTAGTATCGGTCGTAGTAGTCGTACTCTTATTCAGTGAAATAGTAGTCGTCGTAGTAGTTGTAGTAGCGGTAGTCGTAGCACTAGTACTAGCCGTAGTGATAGTAGTAGTAGTAGTAGTAGTAGTAGTAGTAGCACAAGTAAAAGTAGGAGTAGTCGTAGCTGTAGTCGTAGTAGCAGCCTTAACCGTAGTAGTCGTAGTCGTTGTCGTAGCAGTAGTAGTAGAAGTAGTAGTAGCAGTGGTAGTAGTAGTAGTAGTAGTAGTAGTAGTAGTAGTAGTAGTAGTAGACGTTGTAGTCGCCATAGTTGCTGTAGTGATAGTAGTAGCAGTAGAATTCGTGGAAATAGTCGTCGTCGTAGTAGTAGTAGTAGTAGTTGTAGTAGTAGTAGTAGTAGTAGTAGTAGTAGTAGTAGTAGTCGAAGTAGTAGTAGTAGTAGTAGTAGTAGTAGTAGTAGTAGGAGTCGCAGTAGTAGTACTAGTACTAGTAGTCGTAGCAGTAGTCGTGGTAGTAGTAGAAGTAGTCGTTGTATCAGCAGTACGAGTACGGATACGAGTACAAGTACTACCATGTGTAGTTGTCTGCGTAGTAGAAGCAGCATTGGGATGTAGGATGTACAGTTCGCACTTCAACACTTCAGGATCGCAGCTTCGATTCGTATTTTCCCCGCTGGTAATGAAATTCGGCCTCGCCGCCCCTTTCCCCTGACTGAGTCTATCTTGGCTTAGGACCCTTAACTCGTAGGTCTAGATGGGGGTCCTTTAATATCCGGGGCTCGGGCCTGGTGGGCCTCGTTGAAAATGCGCTAGTACACAACATCACTCATTCGTCCAGGTTTGGGGCGTATTTGGGAATCTTAGGTGGGCCACGGGACGGTCATGGCTCCTCGTGGAGCATGTTGAAAACCACCTTGAGCTATCTTGTTCGATCTTGGAGGCCACTTTGGGCTACCTGAGACCATTTTGTACGCTCTGGCCCCTCGCGAAAGGGCTCGCCTAGACCTAAGGAGATGAGGCAGGGGGAGTCTTAAACCTCCCACACAAAAAATTGAAACAACTAGCTCCGTGAACCTTGGAACGCCCAAAGGGCTGCTGGGATTGATGCCAAGCTCTGCGGCCCTGGCCTTCCAAATCCTGATGCCAACAATCAAGTTAACATGGTGGCGGCTGATTTGCCAACGTGTTCGGACTCTGCAGGCCGTCTTGAGGTCGCCTTATATGTTAGGAGGATGAGACGCTCCATGAGCGCTCCGGGGCGCCTCAGGATAGCCCCAAAATGGTCGCTGACAGCCCCGAGAGTCATACGTTTCACATAATTGTTTTTTGTTGCCAGACCTTGACATCACCGCCCTTCGAGCCTCCGATTGCCACAGACGGCCCAGTAGGCTTCAACATCGGCCCATGACCGCCTCCTGCTGAGCGTCCTGGGGTGCTCGTAGAGCGGCCGCGGCGTCCGGCGCGTCCCCCCCCCGACACGCTGGCTCGCAGGGACTACCGATTTGTCCCAACCCTGCCTTCGTCGTCTCACGTCTCGGGCCGGACGAAAGGGGAGAATTTATTTTATCCCCTGGCGATGGCGGGCGTGACCGGAGGGGGGGATCGGGGGAGGCGGTCGGCAGCGTCACGATGCGCGCCGCCGCCTGCTGGGAATGCCAGCATGCATGGCTACTTCCAGACGGTGATGGAACGAATCGTGGCTTGACCAGGGGGGAGGGAGGGGGGGAGGCGAGGCCGGTAACGGGCGTTATGGCGAATAATGGACGGTGGGCTACACTGGGGGTTGGGGAAGGGGTGGCACGAAATCTGCTGCGTGCAGCTGGTTTCGGCCCCATCATCGGGCGTCGATTTATATGCAGTACATTTTAGCCGACAGGCGCCGCGAACACCAGCTACGTGCGCTTACTCGCTAATCTCTCTTTAGTAGACCACCGACAGGGCGCTCGTCCGGCCCGAAGTCTCTTGATTGCAGTACGGAATTAGGTTCCAACTGCAATTGGTGCTCGTGCACCAGCCTCGGTGCTCTCGTGATCATAATCCTATGTTTCCTGCCACTGCGCGGCCAATCGTTCGTAACCTCAGGATCAGGACGAAAAGCCAAGCGGCCCCCTGACAGCGTGACATCAGTTGTTTGTTTGTTGTTCCATCTTCGGCTCCAGAGGTCCTCACAGTTTCCGAGGATCACTCTTCGTACCGGATACGTGTTTGATTGTCCTGGGCCCCGAAAGAGCCACCAGAGTGCGGAGATCGAAGAAAAACGCCTGGACTGAGCAAAATCAGATCGTCAAGAAATGGCTACGGGGTTCAAGGTGCGATGTCTTGATTCGTTCGATGTGGAGTCCCCAGAAGTCCTCACTCCTTCAGCAGGGCTTGCATCCATAGTAGTTTTGTTAACGGTTTCGAAGCCCAGGGATGACCCCTGGAGACTGAAGATTGTCATGAACTTCCCGTTGTGGTTCTGTCACGACGCGAGGATGTTTGGCGTTCGGCTCGTGACTCGATTCTCCGGCATCCGTTCGGGACGATCCAGGCACACCAAGAACACACTTGGCGAGGCGCAGCTGCTGGAGGCTCCCCACGGCTGGTAAACTGCCAAGAGACGACAAACATTGCCGAAACCGACCAAAGACCGTCCGTCCTAGTTTTTCTTCCCCGACGCGGACATGCCTGGGCTTCTGGCCCCGCGAAGGGCGCCCGCCGGGCGCCCAGGGGGGGCCCGCAGTGCGGAGAGTCGGAACTCACGCAACGGGGGTCAGCGCTGAAAGATTCCCCTCCGAGCTCCTCTGGCTGACCTGGGCTCTGGAGCCACGTGGGGCCGACCCGGCCACCACGCCTTCGGCTGACCTGGGTTTGGGAGCTGTTGTTCGCCGATGGGCCATGGGCTGTTCGGGTTCACGACATGGCCTTGACTAGCCCAGTTTAGTTCGTGGCCGGGCAAATATCCGTATGCGCGGCCTCGCGGGCGCAGCCCTTGTGCCGCGACCCCGCGGATTCGCGGATGCCCCGCGCGGAACGCATCCGTGCGGCCGCGCCGCGTACCCGCTGGACCGCGCCCCGGAACGCAGACCGCGAGGGCGTGGATGTTGAAGTGCTCGCCGCTCGAGAGACCCAGGTCGGCGGAGCCCGTTTTTTATTCGTGGCAACGCCCGTGGCCAGCTCCCTTCCCGCCCTCGCCCCTCTGGGGTCACGTCACGATTCGCGCCAGCGCCGTCTGGGAATCCGCCGCCCCTGAAGGCATTCCCAGGCGGCGCTGGCGCGGATCGTGACGTGACCGGACCCCTTGCCCCCTGCCCCCCCGGGGTCACGCCCGTAATCGCCATGGGATGAGATAAAAGCTCCCCCGTGCGCCCCAGAAAGAGAGAGAGGGGATCAGGGGCAACGATGGGGGGGGGGATAGGGATAGGGGGGGACGCATCGACTCCCGAACGCCCATTGATCGGCACAGGGGTCCGATAGCTCCTTCCCGCCCAAGAAAGTACGGATGCACGATCGGGAGCCTAGGTATCGCTGATCCGTCGGAGATGTACCGCCGATTCCAGTTCCATGCGTTCCCCGCTCATTTATGCCATTCCCCCCCGATCGTTGCTGCGCAGAGGAGCTGGCCGGCCTGCGGAAGCAGGCGCGCTTCCTGCTGGAGTCCTCGGCGCAGGCGGCACTCGCCGCCGACGGTGCGGAGGCGAGACCCCCGCGCCGCTCGCGGTGACCGACTTCCCCCCTCCCGCGAGGTCCGAGGCACCCCTCGAGTCGCGACGAAATTACCCGCCGGAGTCTCGTAGGGTTCTGGGCGGCGCGCCCGGGGGGAGGGTGGGCAGGAGAAGACCTTCTCCTAGAAGGCGGTGGGGCTCCTCAGAAGCCCTCGGGCCTTCTAGGAAGTTGTCCGTGGCTTCGCGGGAATTTCTCCGGTGGACGGGGGTATTCCGAGCCGATCGAGAAGGTAGCAAGTTATGGGGGTCGTGCATACCCTCACGATTTCGTTTCCAGCTTCTCACGGCCGGGATCCTTTGGTAACAGAAAGATAGCAAAAACAGTTCAAGCATCGTCAGAGAAATTCCTTGTCAGACGAATAGACGTATCCAGGGTCTGTCACAGTTCCCCCGAGTCGCCTCCCACTGGGGTGCCAGGGCGCTTGCCCCGACAGCCGTTGACAAAATGGCAGCAAGGCAGTGTCGTGGTGGTTACTTTTCGCGGGCTGTGTGTCCCATGTTGTCTGTTTTGGGTGTCATGCTTTGTTTGGCTTCTCGCGTCACGTTTTCTTCGGCGTCTTGCTTGCAGCTCATTTGCGCGTGCCACGCTAGTATTTGCGGAACGATGTTTTTTGTATCTTGAATATGTGGTGGACTTTTGGTGGATGAAATTAGCGTGGAGAAGAGCAGCGTCTGTTAATCAACGATATAGCGCCGATTTGGCGTCGGCTTGCGTCGGTTAGCGTCGACTAGTGTCGAGTTAGCGTCGAGTTGGCGTCTATCTGCGCCGATTGGCGTCGATGTCGTCGGCCAACAAGATGGTAGGGGAGGCTCCCATGAGTTGCCATCGAAGCAGGGGTATCACAGATGGGGGGGCCAGAGTAGGTGCAATAGTGCTTGTAGTAGTTTGGTATTGATGCAGCAGTTTTCTGCCTGGACGCCATACTTGCGTGTGGTTGCTTGATTCATCGCAATAGTTCACAGTCCTTACAATAATAGTTCGGGCCCCCCAGCAATAGTTTGCACAAGAGCTCGCGCAGTAGTTCGCGCAATCCAAGTATTGTACCTCCCACCACCACCACCACCACCCCATTGCTGTTGCCCCCGTCGCTCCAGTCTAGCACTATGTGTAGGCTCTGGGAACAGTCCTGAAGAAACACAACACATGAATGAGCATAACACTTTCGAAGTTCGCGCAGATTTCTTGGATCGGCGGCAGGCCCCCTGGCGGGCGGCCACTTGCGCGCTCCAGGGAAGCACCGATCTAAGAGATTTTGTGCGGGCCTCCCGGAGCGCATGTTTAGGCTGATTTCTCTTCTTCGGTAAAGAGGATCGGTACGCCAGGCAGGGGGGGGGGGACAGGGCGCCGATCCAAGAAATCCGCGCGGTCCTCCGAGGGTTTGTGTGTACGCTGAGATCCGACGCTGCAGAAACATCGCAACATCGCAAAAAAACAGGATTGGAACCCTGGACCCAATCTGCGTCATTCTTCGAGGCGGGTCGCTCTGTGAGGGTGTGAGGGCCCGACAGGGCTCGGCAGGGAGTGCAAACGCCCGCAGGGAAAAAGTGGCAGCGCCAGGACCTCAGGGCGTGCCGTGCTTCCGTAGCCTCGGGCTCAAGCGACGCGCGCCCTCGGGGCGGCGCCCCGCGAGCGGCCGCCCGCGCGCAGATGGCCTCCGCCCCGGCGCCCTGCGGCACGCCGCCGCGGCGGGTCCGCCCGCGCGGGCCCGCCGCGGAGGGCGGCGCGGCGGGCGCCCCGAGACGGGGCGGCCGCCCTCGCCGCGGCGGCGCCGGGCGGCGCGGAGGGCCGGGTCCGCGCGGCGGCGCCTGTGGGGCGAGGCCGCGGGCGAGCTCTCGGACGACGCCGTGGGCGCGTCGCCCCCCGCGGCGTGCGGCGCGTGGGCGGCCGAGGATCGGGCAGGGGATCGGTCACAGCATCGGTTTACCCCGGAAGTGATTTTCTCGTCGGCCCTGCAACAAAAGACGTATCATGCGCGTGTCCTGTGCGAACCTGATACGGACATTATTGCGCACGGGCGGCCGCTCACAGGACGCCGCCCCGGGAGCGCGCTTCCCACACCCCCTCGCGGTGTGAAAAACTCACGATGGGAGGTTTTTGGTTACTTTCGGCTTCCAGGGGCCCTTACCGGCCTCGGGGCCGTCCAAAAACGACGGAGGTGAAAACCTGGTCCCTGGGAAGGTGTCCAGACCTGTGGGCTCGACGCTTGGAAAAAGAGCGCGACGTCGGGGGTCTGGGTCGTCAGCACGTCGCCCCCCGCGGCGTGCGGCGCGTGGGCGGCCGAGGAGAAGCCAGCGGCGGCGGCGGCGGCCGTGCCGCAGGCGCCGGCGCGGGAGGCTTCGGCCGAGGGCGGCACGGTGGAGGTAGCCGCCTGCCTGCCCCCAGGCCACGCGGCGGTATTCCCCTTCGCGCGCTTCAACCGCGTGCAGTCCGACTGCTGGCGGGAGATGTACCACGGGGGGGCCAGCGTTGTAGTCAGCGCCCCGACCGGCGCTGGCAAGACGGTGCTGTTCGAGCTCGCGATTCTCGGGATGATCCAGCGGGCCGGTCCCACGGAGAGGGACGCGGTGAAGGCGCTGTACCTTGCACCGCTGAAGGCGCTGTGCCAGGAGAAGGTCCGCGAGTGGACGGAGCAGTTCGCCCCTCTGGGCCTCGGCGTGGCGGAGCTCACAGGCGACCAGGAAGGTCCCTCAGGTGGTGCTGGCTCGCGCCACCTGCTCCAGTCGCGCATTCTGGTGGCGACGCCCGAGATGTGGGACATCTACACGCGCCAGGCGGCCCGGTCGAGGCAGGTGGTCGACAGAATTGGCCTTGTGTGCTTGGACGAGGTGCACATGCTGGCAATGCAGAAGCGGGGCGCCGTGCTCGAGAGCGTTGTCGCGCGCATGCGTACGCTGCGCCATGCAAGCGACGCGGCGCATGGCGTGCAGGGCGTTGGACTGCGTTTCGTGGCGGTATCCGCCAGCGTGCCCAACGCGGCGGACGTAGGCGAATGGTTGGGTGCCCCGCCCGCGGCGGTCCGCGTGTACGGCCCGGAATACCGCCCCGTGCCCTTGAAGGTGATCGTGCGGCAGTTTCGGAGCTCCAAAAACGAGTTCGTCTTCCAGCAGTCCCTGGACGCGGCCGTGCCAGCGGTGCTGCGGCAGTTCTCCGGCGGGCGGGCCAGCCTCGTCTTCTGCGCCACCAGGAAGTCCTGCGAGACGTCCGCGAAGTCGCTGGTGCAGGCCGGTGGCGCACCGCCGGACGCGCCACTACGCCAGCTGCTTGCCGAGAGGGCGCAGTGCGCCTCGGACCCGTCTCTGCGGCAGCTGCTGCCCCAGGGAGTCGGGGTGCACCATGCGGGCCTGAGCCCGCCAGACCGGCAGATCGTTGCCGACCTCTTCCTTCAGGAGGCGGTGACGGTGCTGTTCTGCACGCAGACGCTGGCCCTCGGCGTGAACCTGCCGGCCCGGCTGGTCGTCGTCAAGGGCACCACCGCCTACAAGGAGAAGGGCTGGGAGGAGTACGACCCCCTGGAGATGGTGCAGATCATCGGCCGGGCGGGGCGGCCGCGCTTCGACACCGAGGGCGTCGCGGTGATCATGGCCGAGGACGGCGTCGCTGAGAGGTGGCGCGGCCAGCTGCTCGGCACCAAGGCCATCGAGAGCCGGCTGTCGGAGCGCCTCACCGAGTCCCTGCTCGCGGAGGTGGCCATCCAGTCCGTCTGTGACGAGGCCTCGGCGAGGAGGTGGCTGCGCGGCACCTTCTTCGCCGTGCGTTCGAGCAAGGCCCCTGGGCTGTACGCGGCGGCGCTGGCGGACGGCGGCGCCTCTCACCCGCTGCGACAGGCGGGCGAGTGTAACGTCGAAGAGTTCGTGGAGCGCCTGTGTGCCCAAGAGTTGGCGCGGCTCGAGGCCGCCGGACTTCTGCTGCGGCCGCCCGGGGGCGGCCTGGTGGCGGCGCCGCTGGGCCAGACGGCCTGCAGGCACAACGTGCGCTTCGAAACGGTGCACGGCCTCCTGGTGTCGCCGCTTCCCTCCGACATGCAAGGGGTGCTGTGGCTGCTGGCCGGCGCCGCTGATTTCGAGGAGTTCCGGCCGAAGCAGGGCGAGCGGACGAAGCTGCGCGACTGGGCGCGGCCCAAGAAGAGGGGCGCGGCCGCTGGCGAGGAGGCCGCCGTGCGGTGGCCCTTTGCGGGGCCCATCGACACCGCGGCCAAGAAGGTGGCCGTGCTGCTGCAGCTGGCGCTGGCGGACTCCCCCCGCGCGCAGCTGCCGTGGGACCTGAGGTCTCAACAGACCCAGATCCTGCAACGGAGCGAACCTCTGCTGCGCCTGGTTGCCGAGATTTTCGAGAAGCGCAGGCAAGGTGGGCTCCTGGTGGAGGCCATCCGCTTGCGCAACTGCCTCCGCAAGCAGCTGTGGGAGAACTCGGCGATGCAGGCCAGGCAGCTGCCCGCCATTGGCGACCGCGGCGCCGAGCAGCTCAGGGCGCAGGGCATGGGGTCCCTCGACGCCCTCGCGGCCTGCGACCCCCGGCTTATCGAGCTCGCTCTGGGCCGGCGGCCGCCCTTCGGCAACGAGCTGCAGTGCAGGGCCCGCGCCGTCCCGAAGCTCTCCTTGAGCGTAACGGCCGAAGGCCCACAGTGCGCCGCGGTCGAAGTCTGGGCCCAGGCCCCCGCGGCCCCGCGGGGCGACGGCGGCGCGAAGGACGCGTGGCTCCACGTCGTCGTGCTCGCAGCGCCGAGCGGGGAGCTCCTACAGCACCATCGCGCCCCCGTGTCGCGGCCGCCGCCCCGCCTGAGCGCGCCCGTCCGTCCCGGGGACTCGGGGCTGGTGGTGTGGCTGCTGCGCGACGACGTCGTTGGCCTCGACGAAGTGCGCGTGCTGGGCGGAATTGCCGCGCCCGCGGGTCTGCCGGGCGCCGCCGCGCAGCCGCACCAGCAGCCTGCGGCGCCCGCTCCGAAGCGCAAGCGCGGCGCCGCGGAGGGCCCAG